ATCTCAGTCAGGATCCCAGGAGGATTTTTTTGTAGCTATTAACTGATAACTCTCAGCTACCAACTGACTGTAAAATGTACACAGGAAAGCAAATATAAGTATAATACCTAAAACAGTTTTGAAAACAGAAGAATAGAGTTCAAGGACTCATAGTGCATCATTTCAATACTTACCATCTATATCTATAATAATAAAAGTGTAATATGCTAATTAGAACAGATGACCTTCTGGACGAAGCCAGGGCTGTGAGGGCCGAGGCAGCCGCCACGGCTGTGAGGGCCAAGCCCCTTGCACAAATTCCATGCATCGGGCCTCTAGTATATATATAAAAGGCTAAGTGATCGACTGTCCGACCAATCACCTGACTGGCTGGTACGTATGATGCACACTGGCAATTTAAAAGTAAACGTTGAATCGAGCATGTGCAATATGTATAAAGCTCTCGCTAGTACCAATCACAAGTGTGTTTTAATGTTATAATACTATATTATATATACTATTTTGACATGTAATTTTATGCAGTAATGTAATTACCGCACGAATCTTTCTTCTAATTAATTTCCTTTCAGTGTGCACGAATCTGTGCAACGGGCCACTAGTAAAGCTATAATAATCAAAGCAGTTTAGTATTATCAAAGGTAGACACATGGATCCATGGAACAGAATAGAAAATCCAAAAATAGAACCACACAAATATAGCCATTGAATTAGAGAGAATCTTTACAACAAATATGAAACTTGACCTGTACCTCCCACCATTTACAAAAAATGACTCAAAATGGATCATAGTTTTATGTTTTATTTTAGCATCAAATTCCATGAGTCAGATTTCTGCAAATAACACCCCCCCCCCACACACACACACACCTCATCACTATTTTAACTTAGCTGGTATTTTTCTTTGCATGGCTCTCATTTGTTTTTCATCAGCTCCTGTTTTATTTGGTTTCTTTCTACCCCATTTTATATTGCCTCTTGTTTTTAAAATGCTGTGACTGACTGTGAGTGGCTGGCATCTGTGGGAGGAGGAAGCCAGTGTGGTTGTGGGAGGCAGTTGAGGGATGGATGGGTTAAAGTGACTAATTTTTTTAATGTGTTGATTTTTGAAGTAGAAATGTTGAGGACCCCTAAAGAAAATTCTTTATTTGTATTAAAGAGCCCTTAAGTCATTTTGAACTTTGGAAAAATCTTTTGAAGCTCCTTTGACCTGTCTTCCTTTTTCATAACTTCACTAAATCTTCTATGTCTTTAGCTTCCATTTCATCTGATTTACTTCTCTTTCACAGAATGTGAATTCAGATTTCACATTCATTAGGTAACACTGATTCTGCACCGAAGAGCTTCTCAAGAGTCTGCATTATTTTTATGCTGTACTTTGGTTTTACATTCAGTTGTTCTCTTTATATTTGGTGGGTTCCTAGATTTTAAAAGTAATGCTCATAATAGAAACTATAAAAAATATAAAAGGCATAAAGAAGAAAAAATAATTCATAATCCCATTACACAGCTATTATTAGTTTATATTTTGATGTATAACTTTCTAGACATTGTTTACTCCAAATGTCTATGTACACATATACACATAGAATATATATTAAAATGTATATTTTATACTTTAATGAATATTCTACACATTATAATGTATATATTATATTTTAATATTTTTACTTAATATAGCTTGAATTTACCCCCATTGCTAAATATTCTTTTGCAATATAGTTTTCAATGGTTATGTAATATGACATCTGAATCTATCTATCTAACCATTTTCTTATTAGTTGATATTTTTAAGAATTTTTCATTTATTTGTAAAAAATATGTCATTGGATATACTTACAAATAAATCTGTCACATTTATAGGAATTTTCTCAGGGTAAATTTTTAGGAATGGAAATATTGGGTCAAAAGCGTGCATAATCTGAAGGATTTAAGTCTCCTAGAAAGTTTACATTTCCCCTGGACATGTAAGAAAGAGTGTCATTTCTCTACCTCCTTATTGGGCATCTTGAAATATCTTTGGCCACTTGTTAATAAAAAATTTGGCACTTTATTGTGGCATAATGTGCATTTATTTATTTTCCACTTTAATTATACTTTTGTAAACTTTCCTGCCTATGTCTTTGCCTAATTTTCTATTGTAGTGTTTTTGTGGTTGCCTGTTTAAATTGACCACTAATAGATGGCTTATAAAGACATTAGTAATCTATTGCATATTGCACATATTTTCTAACAGTTTCATCTGTTAAATTTGTTATAAGGTATAGTAACATTTTCATTGTGAATGGGATCTGTTTTACTGTTATATTTTCCAAATGCTTATTGTGATTATAAAGGAAACTTATGGTTTTCATAATATGTTTATATTTGATACCTTATTAAATTATATTATTACTTACAATAGTTATTTGGTTGATTCTTTTGAGGTTGTTTGGTTGACAGCCATAACATCTGCAAATAATGACAATTGTGTATTTTACTTTATGGAATTATACCTCCTTTACTTTGTTAAATCATATTACATTAATAAGGATTTTTAGAAAGTCAACTAGTAGTGGGAATAGTTGATAATCTTGTCCTTTTCCTGATTTTCATGATAATGCCTATATGTACAAAGTTGTCAGGTTTATGAAACATGTATTATTCTTTATGTTAAAGATGTGACCTAGTTTTTTAGTTTGTAATTATTTTTAATGATAAATAGATTTTGAATTTTAAGCAAAGCACTTGGGGCATCTGTGGAGATGCTAATGATTTTCTTTCCATTGAACCACCTTTGCATTCTCAAAGTAAATTTTAAACTGATGATTTAGTGTTCTTATAGTATAATTAGAGGCCCGGTGCACAAAAATTTGTGCACTCGGGGGGAGGGGGGGTCCCTCAGCCCGGCCTGTGCCCTCTCCCAGTCTGGGACCCCTCGGGAGATAACGACCTGCTGGCTTAGGCCTGCTCCCGGGTGGCAGAGGGCAGGCCCAATCCCTAGGTGCAGCCCCTGGTTGGGCTCAGAGCAGGGCCGATTGGGGAGTTGGGGCGCCGCCCCTGTCATGCACAGAGCAGGGCGATCGGGAGGTTGTGATGCCACTCTCAGTCACGCTCAGGGTAGGGCTGATTGGGGGTTTGGGGCACCGTCCCCTGTCACACTCAAGGCAAGGTTGATGGGGAGGTTGTGGCGCCACTCCCTGTCACGCACAGAGCAGGGTCAATCAGGGGGTTGGGGCACTGCCCCCTGTTACTCACAGAGCAGGGCCCATCAGGGGGGTTGGGGCTCTGTACCCTGTCATGCACAGAGCAGGGCCAATCAGGGGGTTGGGGCGCTGCTCCCTGTCACGCACAGAGCAGGGCGATCAGGGGGTTGGGGCGCCACCACTGTCACACTCAGGGCAGGGCCAATGGGGAGGTTATGGCTCTACCCTGTCACACACAGAGCAGGGCCAATGGGGAGGTTATGGCTCTACCCTGTCACACACAGAGCAGGGCCCGTGGGGGTGGGAGGGTTGGGGCGCCGCACCCTGTCACACACAGAGCAGGGCTGATCAAGGGGTTGGGGTGCCTTCCCCTGTCACGAACAGAACAGGGCGGATAGGGAGGTTGTGGCCCCGCCCCCTGTCACACACAGAGCCGCAGGGCAATCAGGGGGTTTGGGCGCTGCCCCCTGTCACGCTGATCCTGGTGCTGGGAGGCATATTACCCTTTTACTATATAGGATAGAGGCCTGGTGCACGGGTGGGTGCCGGCTGGTTTGCCCTGAAGGGTGTCCTGGATCAGGGTGGGGGTCCCCACTGGGGTGCCTGGCCAGCCTGGGTGAGGGGATGGTGGCTGTTTGCATCTAGTCACACACCCTTCAGGGTGGGGGTCCCCACTGGGGTGCCTGGCCAGTCTTGGGGAGGGGCTGAGGGCTGTTTTCAGGTTGGGGGTGACTGAAGCTCCCAACCGCTCCTTTTTTTCTTTTTTTTTTTTTTTTATTCTGGGCCAGCTTTAGCTTTGAGGCTTGGCTCCAGCTCTTAGGCCTCCGCTGCTGAAAGTAGGTTTCTGGCCTTTGCTTACAATGTTGCGATCCTGCTGGCTGAAGCCCGGCAGGTTTCTGGGGTTTTGTTTAGCTTCTATATTTGTTACATAGTTGCTTAGACTTGAAGCTCAGAGGCCTGCAGCAGCAGGCGGGGAACGTTGGAGTCCTCCGTCACTGAAGCAAGCAAGCCTCATGTTAGTTTCAAGCTGCCTGGCTGCCAGCCGCCATCTTGGCTGGCAGTTAATTTGCATATTGCCCTGATTAGCCAATGGGAAGGGTAGCGGTCGTACGCTAATTACCATGTTTCTCTTTTATTAGATAGGATACTTGGTGAATGTTGTTCATTTTTCTTTCATACCTTTGTGTATAAATGAATTTAAGGCTACTCTGAATTTCATATTTGTGACATTAATATCAATTTTTGGTATCAGGTTAATACTACCTTGGTGTTAGGCATTTCTGAGCTTTGGAAGAATTTGTATATGGGGTTATATTTTCTTTCTTAGTCGTAATTTTCTGTACCTTTGCTTTCCATTTTTCTTGATTTATACTTGCTATGGGCATGCTAGATATTAAAACACATCTCTGGATTAATTCCCAATCTTACCTATTTGCTTTTTAAAATCTCATTTTATAGTTATTACTTATTGCTGCTTCCTATGGATCTGCTTCCGCAACCTTAGTTAACCTGTTTTAATGTTGAAATTTAACAGAGAACAGCCCCACTGCTGACCATTGCAAACTCTCCTTAATTTTCAGTAATTATATCATCCATTTCTTGTTGTTGTTGTTGTTGTTGTTTTTTCTTTTAAAAAAGCAGTTTGGCTACTTTTTCTAAAACCACTTCCGGGTAGAATTGCAAATTCAAAATTTAGTGGTAAATGCAGAGGGAAAAATCCCTATCATTTCTTCATTTACTAAGTTATTGAAACCAAAATGTGCTTCTTGGGCATTACTTAGGTGTCATCTTTGGGGGGACTTTGTTTTCTGTTTGCAGATATTGCTGTGGTGGAGATGAGTGATGCCTTCCGGCAGCCGTCCTTGTTCTACCACCTTGGAGTGAGAGAAAGTTTCAGCATGGCCAACAACATCATCCTCTACTGTGATGCCAACTCAAACTCTCTGCAGTCACTGAAGGTACCTCACTTGTTTACTAAATAGTTACTTTAGGCACCAGAGTTTTAAGGGTACCTCTCTATTATCCAAAAAAATTTAAGTAGCTTATTTTGTGAAAGGATGTTTTCGTCAGTTAGCTAAGTTGTGAAGTTTATATAGAATTCAATGTAGAAATTTTATGGTACACAGGTAGGAAAAAACTTAATGTTGAGGTCTGAGCTCCAGTTAGAGTCACACCTGAGTAGACTGTGTTAATAGGAAGTCAGTACATGCACTGGAGGAAGACAAAGAGTTTGCATAAGGTATGGTAAAGCCTCATGCTTGTCACCATTGGGGGTTTTGTGGGGCACACCTGCCTCCAACTAGAAATACTATGCTACCTACTGAAAGTACTCTAGAAATTCTGTGAGTATCACTAGAAAATTGGCATCCTCTTTCACAGGGATATGACTTCAATTAAGATTAAAAAGGGGGAATAACAACTCACTGTATTTGTCTAAGAATTCAGTGTATCCCGTCATTCTCTCCATTATAGGAATTTAATGATATGAGGGTATATCCTCCATCCAAAAAGATTGCCTGAAATGCTTTTGCAAGGCCAAATATTTATACACTGTGTGATTTGTTGAAAAGCATCTAACAGTTCAGTGAAACTTGTGCTGAGCCTCATATTATCATTTCCTTTGTGAAACTTCTGGCTTGCTTTATGTGCATTTTTTCATCTATATCTTTCAGTTCCCAAATCAAAGCCAGCCTTGGCATGTGGAGCCCTAAAACCCAGAGCCATATTCCTAATGGCCTAGTAATTGTTATATAAGATCTCTAGCCCCAAGTCCATGCAAAAAAAGTAATAGTATTTTGCTTTTATGTGAGTATCTAAAGCTTGTATGTCTTTCTCTGAAAAATCTTCAGTTTCTTTTAGTAAATACATTGACTAGACACCAAGCATTTGTGCTGGGCATTGATAGACTATCCCCTTTCAGAATACTCTGAATACTCCTATGAGATTTATCCCTACTCTGCCTAAATCTCTTTTTTACTTGGAACAATTCTTTAAGAACCCTGACTTAATTTTACCCCAGTTTTACTACTTTAATTAATACATTATAAAGTTTTGTGATGGTGTGTTTTGCATTATACATAAATTGACTTGCTACTATTTACAACATATATTGCAGTTGATGAAGTAAGATTATTTTATGTAATTTTTTATCCAATGTTTTTGCAATATTTTAAGCAGGCAGTATTGTATTAGACATTTTCACTCTACACTATTTTTATTCTTGCCCTACTGATATCTGGTGATTATTTTATGACTTGCTTTATGTGGGAAATTTTTTAAGTGAATTAAAATGAAATTTGAGAGAAAGAGATAAAGCTAATCTTATCAGAAATTTGTATGGGACAACTAACCTGACTTATTGCATTGCTTTCAGCTAGACTTTGTACAGAGGTGTTAGTGCCATTTTAATAAAATAATTCTTTAAAAGGCTAATCTATCTAAAACATAGTTGTGGTTTGTACATAATAGCTGCTTGTTATTGAGCACTTGGTACTATGGGCTAAGTACCAAGTGCTTTATCTGCATACATTTTCACAGTAAATTCTTAAAATATGCCTGTGAGGTATATATTCTGTCACCATTTTATGAAATTGCAAATTGAGGCTCAAACAAACTCCATCGTTTGCCCAAGATGATATAGCTAGCAAAATTAGGGACCTGGTCAGTGTGCCTGCAAAGCCCATCCTTCTTAACCACTCAACTTTACTGCAGTTACTTCTAGTTAGAAGGATATCAGACATTCCTGCTAAGTGTGTTTATTTCAAAAAGCCCATCAACTATGTCCCCTGCATTCCATGCAAAACCTTCTTTCTTTCCTCATCTTCCTTCTATTATTTTAAGCTTCTGTGTTTTTTTTTTTGTTTTTTATTTAGCTTGTTCCTAGCTCAAATGGGTGTCTGATGGCAGAGGATAAATGGGTGTCTGATTCCAGAGTGTTCTTAAACCCATAAAAATTTTTATTTTGCTCTTACATTATCACTTCCTTTTCTTAAAGTTTTATCTCCTTTACCAAGGTAAATAGCTAAGATGAATTTAGTTTTAGGTTGAATTTAGTATATGAAATTAAAATTTATATTTTTTCTAAGGATTTGATTCTTTTACTTTAACGATTACTTTTTACTACATTCTTTTCAATACTTGAAAATAACACCTAACTTGGTCAGTGGTACAAAGTATATGGTAAATGTTAGGAGAGACAGTAATTTGAAAATATGATCCTATGAAGTAGTGTAACAATTTGTGCACCAGAAGCATTGGCCCTGCCCCTTGTAACAGTGCTGCCTCTGGACATTCCCGCAAGTGTCTGCTCACTTGATGACCCACCATTGACTTGTAAACCATGGACCTCTGTACTCTCTCAACCCTGTTCAGCATCATCATCACATACATTTCCTCTTACTGTTTCATGGAAAGTTTTTTCCATTCTGTTGAGAGAAAAAACAAACAGTCTTGTTCTTTTATTTTACTTATTTCAGAAATGATTCAACTTTCTTCTGAGCTACTTGACATTCATGTCCATTTGGGGAAAGAGGTAATTTGGGGGAGGAGCTGGTAGGTTATACATGTGAGCACGGCTGTATCAAGATTTTCTCTGACCATCTTGAATTGACAAACCAGATGATTTATTTAGAGGAAGTGACTTCCCAGTTGTAGAATCCATCCCTGAGGTTTTGGAAAGGGCTTGGGACTGGAGAATCCAGTTTTCTTTCATGTCAATGAGTAATACTACATCTTCTAAGCAATTGTTACTGGATAAGGTATGCCCTTGTTGTCCTAATTGCTCTTTTACCTCCCTATCCCCCCACCCCAGCTCACTGTTTGTAGCATCTTATTACCATTTGTCAAAGGGAGAGGGAGCTCTGTGCTACCCTGTAAATGGAAGAGGTCATCCTATCACTGGGTTAACACCAGAAATTTTTTCATGTGTAGAGACTTTCATCACAGGCCCATGCGTTTGAATACCTTAAAGAGCAGGAAGGAATACCTCTGCACACAGAAAATGAGAGTCAGAACGCCTCCTGACTCCCACCCAAATGGAGCAACAGTTGCTGAATTCTATCCCCTTTCATTTATTGTAAATTAATGATTCTTTCATTGGAAGTTGATTTTTGTGGCACTCCAACCCATCATCCTATTTGAGTCATTTTAGAATGCACCCTTGAAATTATTATTTAAATTTATGTGTAAAATGTAATTTATTATACAGAAATTCATTATACCTATAACTTTTCAACAATTCAGTTGTTTTTTTAAAAAAGAAATACCTGTACTTGAATTAGATGGTCCAATTAGGCGTTGCTGAAAGAAACAGCTGGTGTCAAAGAAGAGGAAGTTAATTACAATTATTGCAACATATTATAAGGAGAAGTTCTTGTTAAGGAGCTATTTCAAATGCTGTGTGTATAAAAATGTCACTCATCAGCATCCCAACCCAGTTTAAAGACATGTTTCTACTTACAGTAGAGTTCTCCCACCAAGATATATTTATTAAACAAGAAACAGAATTAAGAGGAAGGCCAGCCAGCATGGTTCAGTTGTTGAGCTTCAACCTATGAACCAGGAGATCACGGTTCGATTCCTGGACAGGGCATATGCCCAGGTTGTGGGCGTGATCCCCAGTGTGGGGCATACAGGAGGCAACCAATCACTAATTCTCTCGTATCATTGATGTTTTTATCTCTCTCCTTCTCCCTTCCTCTCTGAAATCAATCAAAATATATTTTTTTAAAAATTGAGGTAAGAAGACTAGAATTTCTTTTAGGATTACTTTCCAGCTTTGGTGCAATTTAACTTGACTTTTGGTATAGGTTGTTTTAATTGACAGTTGCTTATATCAAGAGAAGGATGTGTTCTTACCCCTGATCACAAAACAACACAGGTACAAATTGTCTCTAGATCTGGAAATACAGGAGTTGAGTTGTGGTTGTTTGCTTTGATAATATTAATACTCATATTGTATACGGCTTTAAAATGCTTGAAATACTTTCATAAACTTACTTCATTTGGTCTTTAAAAACAACCCAGTGAAATAGACAAAGTTAAGTACTTACCATATAGATGGGACAGATAGAAGATATTTTCTTAACAGATGATAAACTTAGAGAGATAGAGAGCCTTAGGGGCACACACAGCTACTAAATGTCAGAGCAGGGCAAACCCCATGTTCTTGGAGTTGTCCTCAGGGACATTTTCATCTAAGTCTCTCTATAAATTTCATATGTCCTACAGAAATATGATTTTCTAGCTTTTTGTTAGATTATTGAATTGTGTTTTTAACCTTGTGCTTTTATATATGCATAACATGTAAGCACAAATGTAATTAGTTTTTCTTACATAAAAGATGGGCCAGTTCTGTGACACCTGTGTGGGAGTATTCATTCTAAGCCTTCTCAGCTTTACTTTAGCAGCATGGGGAATGGTAAGGTGAGTCCCATCTTCTCCGTGAAGCTGAGGGTGTTCACAACAGCCAGTCTGGTATTTCCCTGTCCTCCTTGGAAGTGCTGAAATTAGGAAGAGGATGGAACTGGAGAGTATAAGAAATCTCTCTTTTCCCCCCAACTTTAGTGGAAAAACTGCCACGCTCCTCTGGGATAGAAAGAGGGGTCAGAAGGGAAGGACCCAGAAGGTCACCAGCTGGGGGCTATGCTCTTCCTTGGCCAAGAACTCCCAGCGCCTTTCCTTTCTTTCTGAAACCGAGATCCTGGTTGCTCATTCTGCTTCTCCCACCCTGAGTGGATTTGACTTAGCAACCCCACACCAGCTGTTCCCACTTCCTTCCCTTGGCTGCAATTACCCAAATTTTAGGCACAAACACTTTCCAATTTTGGAGATATTCCACTTATTTATCCTTAAAATGACCTCTTCAAAGTTAAATTGTTCCAAATAGCTATTAAAAGTTGTCTTCATCTCCTCTTGGAATGAGACCTAAACTAGATTTTTTATTTGTCTTGCTTCCTTA